TGTATCTGGCTGGACCTCCACAGGTCTTGGTGAGTGGCATTATTCTGCTGCATTCACCCATACTCCAGAATCGTGCAGGCTTCAGCTATGAAGTTCAACGTACTTGGGTACTTGGTCTTGCCAGTGAATGCATCAGGCCTAATCAAATTTTGAAATACAAAACCATGTAGCACAAAAAACACAAGAGACTGGTTATATGCTACTACCAACATGCCCATTTTGACTACAATGAAAAGTAGCTTCCAAGGAGACCAAGTTCTAATTTCCTTCAGCAGCCCATTTTATTGATGGCAACAAGCTATCTGTCAGCCAGATTATAAACAAACACAGTTGCTCAGTGGAAAAGGGCTTAGAGAAAAGTAATTCTGTTATTTGATTTGCTTTTTTAATGTCATTAAGCTTTGTAAAGACAGCATCGTGTAGTGTTGAGGAGTACAGGCTCATGTTTATGAAGGAAGTGGATTAGGTGGCAAAGAGAATGGGATCTGGAATCGCTCTGCCAAGATGCAAAGCCCAGGTGCTCCACTCAATATGTGCTTCATCTTGCACCGTACACCTGTTGTTTCTGTTGCTATGGTCACATAACACCCCAAAACTTCATGGCTCGTGATTCTATGCACCAGCAATTTGGACGGGACGCTGCAAGGCCAGTTTGTCTCATGTCTCACACATTTGGAACCAGCCTGTGGACAACTCAGGGACTAGGGGTCGGAGTTGTCTTCAGACAGCTCACTCCCTCACAGTGAGTGTTGACTGCTCTCGGAGACCTGAGCTGCAGCTGTTTGCTGAAACAGCCACCTGTGTGGCCTGGGTTCTTCACATCATGGTAGCTGGTTCTGAGGGTGAATAACCCCAAAGAAGAGGACCAGGCAGAAGCTATATGCTTTTTTCATAAACCAGCTTTATTTATAATAAACTAGCTTTATTTTTAAACTGCCTTTTAAAATAAAATAGCCTGGGAAGTCACATCATTAGTAATTTCAACCATATCCTATTTGCTGGAGAAGCCACAAGTCTATTTGAGTTCAAGGGAAGGAGAAATAGACTATGTTTCTTGTTATGGAGTGACAAGGCTCCAGAAGAACATGTAGGAATGAAAATATTTCTGTGGCCATTTTTGAAAAATATAATTTGCCTCACCTGACCTCTCTTTGTCTTATCTTTCCTTTTCTGTAAAATGAGGATAATATAACAACTGAGGCAATGCTATTGTCCTAGTTCTTTACTTTGTGTGGAATTTGTACATTAACATTCAATTTCAGCCCTATTTCTAAACTCTGGTATATATATATCACAAGGTGACACAAAAATAGATGATGTGTACTCTATGTTTTTGCCCAAAAGAATCCAAAAGAAGCTCTGATTGTCATTCCCTATTCCCCACTTACCCAGTGAGAGAGGGAAAAGAAAAAGGGAAGAGTGAGAAAAATAGACTGAAAATTGAGAAAATGGAGGAAAAGTCCAAGATGAAATTCATGGCATAAAGATTAAGGAAGGCCAACCAAAAAAAAATGGAGACCTACTATTTGGATAACTTAAGGGGTTCTCCATCTGCCTTCATTTTTCAGCACTCTTGCTGACAGAGGAGGAAGCCAGGTCTTTCTTTAGCAAAGGTTTCTCAATAATACTTTTAGGATCATAGGCTAGCTAATTAGCTGACCCAAGAAAAATGCTGAGTAGTTTCAAGGGGTTCATATAACTTGTAAACATCAACGATGCGCCCAGGGAAAGAAATCTTGCTGTATAGACACGGTGGTGTATCCTTGGACTAATGTTCAGTGTGAAAATATATTATGAGAATTCTCTTTATATAATTGAGATCTTCATCTCTTAAGTATGAAGTATCAGATAGTATCAGATAATGTAAATGTGCTTCATTTAAATAGGCAGTTGTATTGCCAATAGGTTATTTCATAAAAGTGGGCACATAAACTGTGTAGTTCTAAAGTGTTTAATATATGCACTTCCTAACTACTAGTCTGTTTTCATTCACTTATGTAATGGAAACCTGCACACCCATGTCAGCTCTGCTTTGCTCAACATGTCTTAGAGACGAAACAAATGATGGTCTCATATAATGAGCATATAATGGAGCATATAATATAAATTTTGTTTAGTTCTTTGTAGACATAATTTTTATTTCCTAATGAAATATTGGGATACTCACCATGTTTCTTCTCTTTATCAAGCCATATTTCTAGTGTTTCATCATCTTTATAATCACTTATAATGGGAATTGAATAACTACCAACAAATCTGGCTTTGAGAAAGTGTTGTATTTAGAACTTTGGTGTGAATTTCATACATATGAAGAACAAATAAATGCAAAATATTTAGAATTCTACTTTCTTATATATTTGTGTGATTTTAATATAAATCTTTGCTACAAGACCACAAATTTTTGAGGTTCACAATTATATCTCAGAGTTTATCACATAGTAATTTTTTTTAAATTTTTTAAAGAATGTATTTATTTATTTTTAGAGAGGGAAGAGAGGGAGATAGAGAGAGAGAGAAACATCAATGTGCAGTTGCTGGAGGTCATGGCTTGCAACCCAGGCATGTACCCTGACTAGGAATCGAACCTGCAACGCTTCAGTTCACAGCCCATGCTCAATCCACTGAGCTATGCCAGCCAGAGACATAGTAATTATTAAATAAAGCCATAAATAAGTAACTGAATGAAAATGCATAAATGAATGACTGAATGAAATAATATTCTAAATCAACTCAGAGGGCACTTATTTTAACCCACAGAGTGCAAATAAAGGTTTTCTTAATGGCTTTAGAAACAAATTTTTTTTCAAGTTGATATTTAGCCCAGACCTTAAGTAGAAAGATTCTACAGATGGGATTCAGCTGGGTTTGAATTTAAAAGTACGTGAAAGTCATCACCTTTCTTCTTTCACTAGTTTCTTCTTTCTTCTCACCCTTTTATTATATCACCAACCCTGACTTTAGTGCACACATTAAATATCCTCTACTGCTATTATTTTATAAGATGTTCAACTCTAGTAGTGGTGGCATTATTTCTCATGGACATATTTCCACCAATAACAATCATTCCCTAATTGTTTTACGTGCATGTTATAAGTCTATGGGTTAAATTAAAATAGAGTTGTGAGGTGGAACCACAGTTAAACATAACTTTCAGTGTCAACAGAATACATGTATTTAAAATTTTTTAAAAACTTAAACCATATTGCACATCTGAATGTCACTGACTTTCAGGAATAGGCAAGTCCTTCTATATATTGCTGGTAAATGATAATGTATAATATCATGATTGATATAAAAATGTTTTAAAGTATAAATAGAAAGTATATTTATTTGAAAGTAAAACTGCATATTACACATTGAGCAGAGGATAAAGTACCAAGGATATCCCCAGTTAAAACTTGTTCAATGGGTTAATCCCACATGGCATTCCTCTCAAATTCAATGTTGATAGTATAAGATAAGGCTTGAAAGAAATGTAATTGAGAAATGGAACACCACAAGTATCAGAGTTATGCTCATGTTAAATCAAACAAACCAAAATATCAAAATTATTTCTCCTCTATCCTCCAGAACATTTATTAAAGTTTTAAGTTAATCACTTGAGGATTATATTTTAATATTAGCGCTAAAATATCAAAAAGATCTGTAACCATCTTTTTAAAAGTATTTCCACCAACTAAAAATATTCATACTTTGTCTTCCTACTAAAAGATAATTCTATGGGTTTTAGGCAAGTTTACTAGATAGAAGTTTCTGAAGTTTTAAATTATTGTGCCAGAATTAGGACAAGGACATTTAAAATGCTTCTCAGTCCATCATTTGGTTTTTTGAAGAGTTATGACACAGTATAAATCATTAGAGATCGATATGGATACCAGGCTTTCATGAGAAATTTGTTTGTTGACCTTAATAAATCTTCAAGTGTACAAATACAGAAATATTTGTACAGGCAATTTTCTGCTGAATTACATTTTATCTATGCACATTCTAATACCACAGTATATGTTTTTAACAACTTACACTAAAGGTTTGATGGAATGGCAATCACATATTTTAAATTGCTTCACAATTGTTATTTTTGTGCCTAGTTATTTAATCATCATTATCATTATCATGATTAATCTGCTTTTAAGTGTTTTGAAAACTTTACTATAAATAATGTTGTAATGAATAAAGCTTTTTGCTTAGATTAAATTCCCATCAGAGGAATTACTGGAGTAACATTTTAAAAATATTTAAGGCTATTGATAAATTCCATATTTTTTGAAGGAGCCAGAGAAAAATTTCTGTGCTAGGAATGTAGAAAACACAGCAACTAATCTGAATTCATACGTCCGACTTAAAATGGTAGATAGTGCTCAATTTGCCAGTGGGTAATGTTGTAAAAATTATATTCTAAGTGGTTTGTATTAGATTTGACATGAAGGTGTTAACAAAGTTCTCAACTGTACACAGAATGAGAGTTAAGCTTTAATATAGCTCAAGAATACTAGTAACAAATGATGGCTTTCTCTGGATGCTTCTGAATGTTGACTTCCTTACTCCTGTCTTTTACTCTTCCTTTCTGTCTATTCTGAGTGCTTTGTGTGAGTGCCACCACTCTGAAACTTTTGGAAATAGGATTCTAAGCACCCACATGTCTTCGACCTATTTGAGCAGTGGGGCTTGAAGGAAGTAAAAAAATGATGGGAAACTGGAAAAACGCTCCTGGGATGCAGAGCGGAGCCTTCCAGGACTGAGTACTTCCTACAGCATATGGAGGGAAGTCCTGAAAAGAGGGGAACAGAAGTCAGACTCTGATAAATGAATGAAAAAAAAAACCTGCATCAAGAAAGAAAATTATGAAATCCAAGGAGCATATTGTTGTCAGGGAACTATCCTTTTAGTTTTACTATTTTTCTGCAATATGTAATATACTTTTAGATAATTCAAATGAAATAAAAATTCCAAAATAAATTTAAATGATTTTAATTAAATATATCTATATATTTATTTTCTAGAAACTACAAGATGATTCACTAGAAGAAAATCTACGTTTAGCTCAAGAGTATCAGAAATTACAGGAGACATTCTTATCAGAAAAGAACCATTATTTCAATCTATATGATAGACAGTTATCCCTTGATTCTTCAATTAGAGATAAGAAAGAGGTAGGTTTTTAATTTTTTTAAATAATTGCATATTTGGCCTACCTAATATAAAAAATAGCAAGTGGTAAGTCATGGGATTTTTGATCCGAAGAGGGCCCTTTATATGTCACCAAAGGGTAGAGTGTTTTGGTAGAGTTTTATTGTATATTTTATCAATCTTTTGAAATTTAATTTTGAAAGGATACTCAGAAAATAAGTCCTTATTTTCTAATCTACCATTTTATACTAATTTGCTGTTAATTATTATGACCTAGAATACCAAATTTTCCTAGTTCATAGATTTTCATATGTTATAGACTTTAAATTTCAGTTTTATCTTTAAGTAACTTCCCATGCACATCTCTAAATCTTCCTCATGATGTATGGGCTTCAATTTTGGTTTCTATTTTCTTTTAAATATGGGACCTAATTAGAAACTCAGAGAAATAGTGAACCCTCTCTGGTTGCCAGAAGTCACTGGGAATTCAATTTTGTAAAATCTACAATAACAAAAGTGGAAAAGTAAAACATACAATATACCACAGTAAAAAAGGAAAGAGAAATTTCTAACATAGTATTTGCATAGTAAGAACAAAGTTGTCTTGATGTCATTTTTGTATTTAAAGCAAATCTTGATTCAAGATCCAAGAAGTGAACCCTAGTTTGAACAGAGACTGGGGCATGCTAGGAGACTGGGTTTATGTTTGTGATGGCCCCTTAAACGAAGCACTTTTAGCACACCTGTTTCAGGGAAACTTTCAAAGATTTATTTGTACTTCCAATCATTTTTCATTTCCATCCTTCGGCAATGGAGGTCATTAAGTGCAGGCTGCCCTTGTCAGTGTCATGTAGGATCAATTTGCTGCAATGGACAGAGAGGCCTTATTGATGCTGTTAAATCTGTCAGTGAGAAATCGTATGTCATTAACGTCTAATGCACTGCTTACAGGATGGAATTTGGCCATCAAAACTGCAAAAACCCTTCAGTATTTTCGTGCATTCCCTGGATACTGGTGCATTTCCCAAATACCTAGGTTTTAATCTTTTGACCGACTTAGTTTTAGATGCACAAAGACACCGTTCAACCCTGATTCCCTTGCCAGATAAAAATGGATCTCACTTTTAGGATTTTTGTGTATCTTTTTCCTGTTTTAGAATAATTTCAATGCTTTGGATATGCATTTTTGGGCATAGTAAATAATTATATTTTAAGCACTATATTTCTTAGGGAGTATTCTTTCTACACAAATTATACATTTTTTCATATTTCTATGTGTTTTGATGCCAAGAGCAGCAAAGAAAATGTAATAGAGTAGTAAAGCAAATTAAATATAAAAATAAGAATGTTCCCTTCCTTAACACAATTTTATATGCAGATGACTCAAATGTTATACTGTTATAGTAATATTCTTGGTGATAAAATTACGTCTGCTCCTTTTGCATGTGCTTCTCGATAGTTTCCTGTACTTCTAAAATTTGCTGTGATGGGTGTCTCCCCCTTTAAAAATCAGTAGTAAACAAAAGTGATTATTCAAAATTCTTTCCATGTTCATGGGCAATGAAGAAAAACATCTGAAAAATAGGTTGTACTTCTATGTGAAAATAGACTTTTTCATCAAAATTTTCAAATAGGTATTTTTAAAAAAAAACATGAATACATTGGTAAAATCATGTATGTGATAAAATTGCTGTTTCAACTTCTTCAGTTCTGCAAAGGAAGGTAAGCTAAGCAAGTTGATCTCTTCTGTTGCCTGAAAACAAGATCTCTTCCAAAACTGGTTAAAATACATTTTCATGTTTTTGTAAACCACTTATAAAACTTCAGTTTGCCTACTCCAATTCTCAGTGCCTTTAAACTGAGAGAATACAAATTATTACAAAATCAGTCAATGCTTAACAAGCACTTATGTGGATGGGTACCTGTGTCATGCAATTTGGAAACATTATCTTTTTAATATCCTTCTGTAATCCTGGAAAATTTTATATTACTATTATTGTTATTATTATAATCTCCACTGTAAAACACGCAGCTGAGACCGAGTGTGTCATAGGTCACCCAAGTGGAGGGACACTGACTGTGATGGGAGGTATCTCATTGTATTGCTCCTTTACTTGCATATGTTAAAATTAGGCTCTGAGTGGTGAGTTTGTGTGCTTGTTTCAGTACAAGAAATAGGAATAGAAATGTATTTATTTTTGCTAGGAAAACCATAATTTTAAAAATAGTTTCTGCCTACAGCAGCTACTTAAAGACCCCGTCAATATTTCTGCCTCCCTTTCTTAGGACATAGGTATGTGCGCGCGCACACACATACACACAGTTGTCCTAAAGGAGTTGCCACATTTCATAGGCTGATAAGCTTGCATTAAATTCTGACTGTTCCCACCCTCTGAAGAACTCTCAAGAAATCTCTGAAGAGCTTTTGTAATCCCTGAGACAGGAGCAGAGAGTTGGTCATCTATTATTTTACCTCAACGAATCTCCCTTCTGTTGTCAAAACTCCAAATGTTTATTTCTATCTTACACTTGAAAAATGTCAGTACCAGTTCTGAGTGAATTGTAGACTTAGGTATTCTTATGTAATTTTGAGATGATATGTTGGAGATGTTTAGCAATAAGCAGCTTTTTCATGTTAACCATACAGCAACACATTAAAAGTGATGTATAGAGTGTGATTAGATCTCTGATATATAAAGACATTCATGTTAAAATTTTCATATATGTAGATTATAGGTGTAAATAAATCTTTAATATTTATAACTATGCATATATAAATGTTCATACATGTATATATAGTATACATGGATATGTGTGTGTGTGTATATAGATTATATATATACATAGTCTGTGACTCCCCACCAAGGGCGATTTTGTTCCCCAGAGATTCTGTGGATGTCTGGCAGTGCCTGCAGACATTTTTGCTCATCACACCTGGGTGGTGTTGGGGTTGGAGTTGGGTGCTGTGCTCCTGGTGTCTAATGGGTGGAGACAAGGGACAGACTCCACACACACACACACACACACACACACACACACACACATTTTCTAGCCCCCAAATGTCAATACACCCCAATATGTAAAGAAAAAGAGAGCTAGGCATGTAGATACAGATACATATATTATATAAATACATGATATGTGTATATATACATAAGCACAATGCATCTCCTTTTTAAAGACTTAAACTCCATTTGTATGTTGAAGATTCTGAGAAATCCATTTTAAGAAACCTGTTAGTTTTGTTAACCCTAAATTTCCTATTAGAAAACCTGTTTACAACCAAGTATCCAGTGGATTACACCTTGAAAAATGTTATTCTATATAGAATAGGAGAAAATCTCATATCAACAATCATACATTTGAGAAGTTTTGCTTACATATAACTTTGATAAAGTAAAAGTGTTCATTATATTTCCTGTAAAGTTCTAGAAAAAACCTGGAGTATTTTCAAGTAAATAGATTACGTTCCTTGGAATCCATTCAGATTCAAATCCTGACTTTACTTAATGCCATACTGCAGCCATAAAATGAAATAATAGTTTTTATCACTCAAAAGCCATTTAAAAATTACAATAAAACAAGTAAAATGTTCATTGTATGCACCTTGTATAATAGGTGTATTTTCTACTTAGGCTTGTCTAATGCATGACTTACAGCTGCAATTGATTTGCAATTCTGTGGAAACATCCGCATAATGATTTCGTTTTTTAGTTTGGAACTACACATATGCATCACAGTGACATAAACATTTGAGAGAGCTGCTCTTGTAATCACCTTTCCCTTAATCTACAGAGCTGTGTCTTATAATCATTTACTAAGGTAAATATTAATATGGAAAACGCATACTAATGTGCTAAATGTTTTCTTTAGGTCATTTGTTCTTTCTTCAGAGTGGTACTCTTATTGAAAGTGAGGAGGGGTATCTAATGACAACTTATTTAATGTCCCTGGGCCTCTGAAAAAAATGGGAATACTCAAGTCTCCCTACCACCTGCTGTAAATATATATAGTGATGGTTAACACGCAGGAAGCACTTACTGTGTGCAGGGCTCTTCACAAGCTTTTATTCATAATATTATTTAATTTCCTCAACAACCCTATGGAACATAAACATATTTTTTTAAATATAAAGCACCTGAAATAGTTTGCTACAAACTGTATATTGTACACCTACAAGAAATGACTGTCGATATTGTTATCATTTGTTATACTAATATGTGTCCTTTACTTCTTGTAACAAATCTTGGTATGACTAACCTAATATAAAAGACCTTTTAGTCTATAACAGCTACAAAATGGGGTGACTTGTGGGGGGAGAGGACAGAAGTGTAGGGTAACAGTGACATTATGACAATCAGTTTGGAAGGCACGTAGGTGCTCTAGGGAGGAGAGCAATGGGCCAACCCTTCATTGATCAGGTAGAGCTGACAGAAGGTTACAGACTGGAAAGCCACGTGTACTCACGTCTGTGCGAAGGCACGAGGGGTAGACTTAACAAGGACACACGGGTTAGCTGGAGTTATATCCAGACCTCATACTAAGAAATACCAGTTAGCACATAGTGTTTATAAAAAAGTCCCATTCACAATAGCTATAACAATAAACATTTCTTAGAAATAACCATAACATGAAATTTTATTAGATTCATTACAAATCTGTAAAATTTTGAGAAAGTTGGAGAAGATGACAATAAAGACAACACATGATATAACAATATACAATGTTTTCACTTGGTAAAATCCGGCATCTTCAATTTTAAAGCAATTTCAAAGAATCCACAATCAGTCCAGTTATGACACAACTAAACAGGATTTTTTAATATCCCTATTTCCAGAGAACATATTTTGTATAAAGCCAAATGTGGTCTACTTGCCCATATTCTGAGTATACCTGTATAAACCTGATTTTCCTACTGAGGAAGGAGTTACTCAGTTTTTTGAGGTTAACTAATTCTTTAGCCACTAATTTACAAGTAATATTTCTTCTTTTTTCTTGAAATAGACCTGAATAAATTAACATT